TTTTTTTCGGATTTCCTTCTTAACCGCTGTTGTCAGCCATTTCGGTTTGTTTCCGGTTGGATTTTTCTTGAGGGGACAGTACCGTTCAATCAGGTCTCTCATAGTTGATTCGAAGGTTGTCCAGCATTCGTTGACGTCTCCTCGTAATGCTTCGGTCCATAGTGTGTGTCCAATCTCTGATTTCATTGCCTCAAAGTTACCCCGCCAGACATTTCTTGACGACTTTGTGCTTCGTTCGGGGACAGCTAGGAGTGTCGACTCCCACATTAATGTCATGTGATCACAAGAACCTAGGGGCGGGCCTACATTTATTTCATCAACGCTTTCCTCGTTTTTAGTAAACACAAGATCCAGGCAACTAGCTCTCTGACCTTCACGCATCCGAGTCACAGTTCGTACATGTTGAAACAGAAATTCATCAAATGTCATGTCTAATAGCATTTGGTCGAATCCTTGTCTGTGGCCCTTAACTGTCATAAGGTCCCAATTAATCCGCGGAGCATTGAAATCTCCTACAATAATAATGTTTTGCTTTCGACTGTCCTCGCGGAGTCGAGTGATTAACGCTAGATCTTCGTCGGCAGGTTGATTTGGGGGTCTATATACAACGGTGATAGTAACGTTTTCGGCTTTGGGAACCAGCAAATGACACTGCAGCAGCTCCAGATCATGCTCATTTACACATTCTTCAACAGGGTTATATTCGACCGCATTGCTGATATATAAGGCAACTCCGCCACCTCGCCTTTTGGTTCGGTCTCGTCTTAACACTTGATAACCATCTAACTGTATTTGGGGTTCTGTGACATCTGGGTGAGCCACGTTTCAGTTAATGCAATAACATCAGGACATAGTTCGGCCACAATTATTTTAAGTTCATCGAGTTTGTTCAAGAGGCTTTGTACATTTCCGTAGAATAACTTAATTTTATGTAGGTTGTTGCGTCGAATTAGTTGCTCGGCCGTGTGGCCTTCGTTAGTATGACAGGCGTCCTCCACAGGAGGGGTCTTTGTCGTCGAACAATCACTCCGTTCATTATTACTAGTCCTTTCTCTCTTTGTTCTTTCAAGGTCGCCAGCTCCGCCTTCAGCGCCCTCCATTTCATTCTCTCTTGTACTGAGTAATCCGGTTGAAAAAAAAGACCTCTATGGCCAGGGATCCCCC